TAGAGTAAACAAACCACCTGCTCCATGGCTATCTCCCCGCCTACGTGACGTTCTTAAAGAAAGAGATATTGCCCATACTACATATAAAACAAATAAAACTGTAGAAAACCTAAATATTTATAAGCAAAAAAGAAATCACGCGCTTACTCAGGTGAGGAAAGAGAAAAGAGCATATCTACAATTTTTATCTGAACAGAATGACGAAAAAAAGGTATGGATTGGCTTAAACCACCTTAATATACATTCTCGGACAAAAACCCCTCTTCCAGATAATCTATCTGATCCAAATGAAATCAATGACTATTTTATGTCAGTTTACAGTACAAATAATGCCAAGGAAGAATTATGTCACCTATACAAAAATCGTCACTTCTTTCCACCTGATTCTTTTTCATTTAGAATTATTGATTCTTCAGAAATTCTACAAACTATTAAATCTCTTAAATCAGATGCCAAAGGAATAGATGGTCTTACGCTAACTATGGTAAAGGTAAGCCTACCCGTTATATTTTTCCAGTTAGTTCACATTATCAATCTATGTCTTGAAACCGGTTACTTCCCTAAAATTTGGAAGCAAGCACTGATAATACCTATAGGAAAAACTTTGAAACCCGGTCTCCTATCAGATCTTCAACCAATCAGTTTACTACCTATTTTGTCAAAAATCCTTGAAAAGATTGTACAACTTCAACTTACATCATACATTGAAGTACATCAGATAATCCCACCTAATCAATCGGGTTTTAGAAAACATTATAATACAACATCGGCTTTAATAAACATATGCGACAACATCTTTCGTGTTCTGGACAAAAAAATGGGTTTAGCTTTAATATCAGTCGACTACTCTAAAGCCTTCGATAAGATAGATCATAAACATTTATGTGCTAAGATACGTTCTGTTGGTTGTGATGAGGTTGTAATCAAATTTTTTGAAAGCTCTCTTAAAAACAGGACTCAATGTGTTTCAGTGAAGGGTATTACATCTGATGTCACTCGCATACCTTCAGGAGTGCCTCAGGGTTCCATTTTGGGACCTCTTTTGTTTTTAATATATACATTTGACTTATCTAGATCAGTTTACAACTCTGATATTCAATCGTTCGCTGATGACACCCAGCTCTCGCATTGTTTCGGTATAGAAGATATACAGAGCACTGTCCAAGTATTACAAGCAGATATTGATAGGCTATGCAAATATTCAGCAGATCACAACCTCAGCATAAACCCGGAAAAATATAAGATTTTATTGTTTTGTTCAGACAGCAGAAGGAACGACGTTGTTTCGCTCTTAAATGTGAACATACACAATAAGCAGCTCAAGCTCACCAATAGCACAAAAATATTGGGTGTAGAAATTGATACAAAATTAAGATTTACCGAGCATGTAAAAAATCTGACACAAAAAACCTATGCACGTTTACGCAGTCTTTATTCAAACAGATATCTGCTAAACTTCAAAATGAGGAAAAAACTTTGCGAAACCTTCGTTGTGTCTGTCTTGAACTACTGCAGTATTCTATATTTTCCCTGTTTGGATCAGATCACTAAACACAGAATCCAATTGATTCAAAACAGCTGTGTTCGTTTTATATTCGGCATGAGAAAGTTCGACCATGTCTCTCACAAATATGCAGAGTTGAGATGGCTAAAGTTTGACCAGTTGGTCAAGTTACATTTTTCCACATTTATCCATAAAATTTTAATTAATTCTAAGCCAGAATACCTATGTGAAAAAATTATTTTTAATAACACCATTCACAATAGAGCTATTAGAGACAGGCACGTTATCAGAATTCCGAAGCATACAACATCTCTGTTCCAACGAAGTTTCTCATATAACGTTGCAGCAATATATAATTCTTTGGACAGTAAATTTAAGACTATGAGTTTACCATGTTTCCGCTACAATGTTAAGTTGAATTATTTGAACGATCAACTTTTCCCTCAATATTCATAGACCTTTTCAGAGTAGCAGTATGTGCACACACAATATCTCATTTTCCACTTCTCATATGGGTTATAAGTGAATTTTTATATATATTTGCATTTTTTTTTTCTGTTAACTGTTAAGAACATAATATTTAACTTTAGTGGTTAAGTGTTAGAGTAGCATATTGCTAAACTTCGCCACTATAGTTACACTTTATATATACACATGTATTGTATATATTATTTAATAAAGACGTTTATTATTATTATTATTATTATTATTTAACGCATTTGATTAATTCTTGTTTGGAGCTCCACTATTTTCCCTCTGCATGGAAGCAAGCAGTAATTGTTCCCTTGGCAAAAACTAATAACTCTTCGGCTTATTCCGACCTGCGCCCAATAAGTTTACTTCCGATTCTATCAAAAATACTGGAAAGGATAGTACATGATCAATTGAAAGAGTACTGCTCTGAGAATAACATAATTCCAAAAAACCAGTCTGGCTTCAAAGTAGGGAATAGCACCACCACTGCCCTGCTTAAGGTGACTGATGATATTGTTGAGGCTTTGGATCGGGGTCAAGCAGCGGCTCTTGTACTGCTTGAATTCTCCAAGGCTTTTGACACTATCAATCATTCACTTTTGATCTCAAAATGCAAATATATTGGATTTTCTCAAGCATCTATCAAGTTCATTACTAGTTATCTCATGAATCGTATGCAAAGGGTACATTTGGACAACTCATATTCGACATATAAGGATGTGATATCAGGGGTCCCTCAAGGCTCTGTTTTAGGACCGCTATTGTTCTCCATTTAGATATCAGACATGTGTAAACTGATACGCTCCTCTGAAGTGATGATTTTTGCGGATGATACACAAATATGTAAAACTTTTGATCCAGATGACTGTGTAGCAGCTGTTGACGAGTTGAATTGTGACTTAGCCACTATTGTTAGTTTTTCCAAGCATAGCTCCTTAACGATAAATGCCTCTAAATCTAAAGCTGTTCTCTTTGCACCAAAAAACAAAATCATTTATATCAGAAATAACACGACAGTACGGATTAATGACACTTCTTTAGTTTATGAGGATCTTGCAAAAAATTTGGGTGTCTTACTTGACAAGGATTTACGTTTTCGTGAGCATATATCTAAATCAGTAAGCAACTGCTTTGTTGTACTAAAAACATTGTTTGTTAATAGGCATTTCATGAATTTCAAATTGAAAAAACATCTTTGTGAAAGCCTAGTTCTCTCAAAAATCAACTACTGCCTTATAGTTTTCTATCCTTACTTAAATCAATTCTCAATTCGCAGACTTCAACTGATTCAAAATTCGTGCTGTCGCTTCATCTACGGTTTAAGAAAATATGACCATGTTTCACACTGTATTCGTGGTTTAAAATGGTTAGATATTAATAGCTCTTACGAGTATTTTATCTTGAAGTTCATTCATAATATGATTATCACGGGAACTCCCGAATACCTCTTCAAAAAAATTGTTTTCAGGCAATCTGTTAGAGATCGCATGCTGAGGTATGGCGAATTATTAGATATTCCACGGCACCGTACGGCTTTATTTACTCGCTCTTTTAGGTATAATTGTGTCAAACTGTATAACGTGCTACCTGATGCATTCAAAAATTCATCTCAAACTAAATTTAAAGTTTGTGTCAAGCAGCATTTGCTATCAAAAGTGACTCGTAGTAGTAATTAAGTAGTAGTTTGTAGTTTAGATTAGTAACCGCCAGAAAAATTTTATTTGACGTGTTGCTGAATCTGTTTATATTTTCTATATTATGTCTTGCAATATTTTCGTTTTCCTTTGGTTAGCCACTGTATATATACATGTTAATTACATGTATTTACATTGGTTCACAACCATGAAAATAATAGGGTTAAGTGGAAGAGTATCTATTTAGCTAAACTTCGCCCGATACTATGTAACTTTATAAATAAAGACGATTTATTATTATTATTATTGGCGAGAAAATATTAATCGCGAATAACTTCGAAAATGAGATATCATGTCTTTAGATGTTGTATGATATCTACATCATACATCATATATGTGTTTACAAATTAATTATTTCTTGCTATTAAAATCATATTTATCTAATAGACAACCGTTTGTATATGATATAACAAAGATTACTGTTTTCGACCCGTCAAACCACTCAAATGATCTTTGACATGCAATTAGGTCGCACTCTCCAGAGATCGGTTTGACTCAAACACTGGTTCAGTTATAACTCAACGACCTCATCTCCTGTGTATCAATGCGATCCACAGCTTTGCGGCGGTCGTTACCTTGAATGTAGGTATTCAGAGTGCCAAGCCATTCTCTGCCGATGAGCTGGAGTGAAGACGAACAGCGTCTTCGTCTCAGACGAGTAATCTGGAGGCAATCACTGCATGGGAACTCCACAATCTGATACAGTTTAATGCTTCCAAAACACAGTACTGTGTCTTGACAAAAATCTCATGCACAGATACGACCTAATTAGTGTCAAATATTATTTGAGTGCTTTAATAGGCGCAATAAAGAATTTTAAGGAACGAGATATTACTCAGTTTTATTCATGACCTTTGGTTTTTGATATCTCTAAGACTGCTACTTAAAAAAATTATCCCATCTAGACATCATAATCTACAACATACTATAAATTCAGCCAACTCCACTGTCACGTTTTTGTGGTCCTCTTTCTAGATCGCAACGTTGTCAGTTGAGCGGGGACTATGAACTAATAATTGTATAGGCCACTTGACTTAATTGACCCATCTAATTTTTTTTTTATGCATGTTCGTAACTATGTTCTCAAAGGGGTTGAATTGTGGCGAACGTAATTCTGTATGAACAGATGTCAGTTTCCCACACTTTTTCGATATTTTTTTGGTTTCATTTCTGGGTGTAGTAGTAAGAATTTTGACCTTACCTATTCATACATTTCGAAATCGGGCATCTACACTTATTAGAATCAGATAACCTATTCATTCATTTTTTTATAATGCGTTTAGCCACCGCGACTATACCTAATAAATAAAATAAAAATATCTCTACAGGAGAAACACAATCAAGATGTACCGGCTCTCCATACTCTGCATCTTCACAATAGCTATATCCTGGGCTCAACAGCCTCTTGAACCACCCATCACAAGCTACGACTACATCGTGAAATTCACTATCAACATGGACGAAAACAAAGTTCCATATTACATCGTAAATGGAATTTACAACCGATTTGAAGGAAACGTAACTGTCGATGACGTCATACAGCTGTACAGGATTAGGCAGTTGTCTCTGAACCAAGCAAAGCTGGTGCTGAATTCGATGGATGTTCCGACTGACACGGTGTTTTCAGGGGATACGTTCGAAACTGTTTTGAAAGACTTGAGGTTGGACTTTACTACGTTCTACAGCAATGTCTTTTTGCTTTCGTTTGGTACTTCTGGTGAACCGTTAAGGAAATTCTTGGAAACTTTAGGTGGGTAACAATTATTTCTCACAAGGGCTGACAACACACTATACCGCCCACTAACAATGCATGCACCGCAGGGGTGTTACGTAACTTGAAGAGTGACATTATACAGGGTGTTTCAGTTTATTGTTGCATAACTTTAAGATTCGATAGAACTTTTAAAATTAATGCATAAAGTCTATATAAACATGGGTCGAAAAATGCGTGGCTTCCGAAATTTAGGGTGTTTAAATTTACTTTCTAAAATAGTTTTTTTTAAATATTTCGAACAATATTTGATGTATAACAGTGAAAATTGGTATGCAAGGGTTTTTTGGTACGACAAAACGAACCATGGCATAGTTTTACTGTAGCCGCTAGAGGGCGCTCTCTACTGTACCTGTAGTGTATTAAAATGACCGAACATTTTTTCTTAGTGCAATTTTTTGCTTTTTGAATAAAAAAACTGATTTTTCGCACTTTTCAACATAAGAAAGGTTTCTTGTGAATTTTCGTTATAGTTAGCCGTTTTTGAGATATTTTGTTTTTTAAGGTTCGATGCATTTTTAATTGTTTATGATAAAATAACGTTAAAAAGTCAGTATCTCGATAATTTTTAGAAGTAGGCTGTGCCTGCAAATATTTTTGAAATTGAAAGCAGAATAAGGTTAAACGTCAATTAGTTGACAGTTAGTTTTGTTGTCTGTTGAAACCTGAAACGTTTTTTTGCAATTGTGAATGCACGAAATTTAGTTTCTTTTAGCTGTTTTCTTTTTGTAAGATTTATAAAAATGCCATTTTTATTCGCCAATCAAGAGTTAGCGGATATTCATTTTGTGTATGGCTTTGTAAATGGAAACGCAGCAGAAGCAGCCAGAGAATACGCACGAAGATTTCCAAACAGACGACATCCAACTCGCTCAGTATTTGTAAGAGTGCATCGCCAAATAATTGAAAATGGTTTTGGAAATCTCCAAAGGGATTAAAACATAAATGTTCGTCAGCCCAGATTTACCCGTACGATTCTGCGTGAGTTTGCTAGAGATCCGACCACAAGTGTTGGGAGAGTTTCTGGTGCCTTGGGAATTTCAGCAAGCCATGTTCACCGTGTTATCAGAAATGACCATAGACGTCCTTACCATTTGCAACCTATGCAAGGACTACAGCCAAGGGACGGAGAACGAAGAATCACATTTTGTCAGTGGATTCTTGATAGAACTGATAAATAATAATAGGGAGTTTTTAAGTAACGTTTTATGGACCGATGAGTCATGCTTCACTAGACGTGGAGTGGTAAATTTTCATAATCAACATATTTGGTCGCATGAAAATCCGCATGCAGTTCGGGAAAGAAATGTTTAGCATGAATTTAGTGTGAACGTGTGGATTGGTATCTACCGTAATCGACTATTTGGACCCTACCTTTTGCCTGCAAGGTTAAATGCTGCGACCTTCTTGGAATTTTTAAAGGCTGAACATGCAAATATAGTCAACGCCAAACAAAGTGGCGTGCACGTCATCACGATAAAAATTCCCCGACCTAATGCCTAGGTTTCTATCACAAACAATTGCTCTATTGCAGTTTCATATTAATGTGATATATAAATTGTAAAATGGTCATTACTCTCTTATTATGGTTAATAGTCATATAAACATTGTTATTAAAATATCACATAAGTTGCTTTCTGATAAATTTAGACGCATTATGCGAAATAAAATGTTTTGCAAACGCTCCAATCACTTATCGACATGTAAACGCACTAAACCGATTTCGCAGCGTTGACACATTGTCACCTTGAAACTTATTTAAACTGGGAACTGACATTTGTATTAATTTTGACACTGAATCAATTTGTGGCATTTCAAATCTTTATAAATCCTTTGGCCCCGCATACTGTAAATCAACAACTGTTTGTTTCAAAACAAAATTATTCATTTTACGAGTAGATAAAGGCAATTTTGGTATATAAAGATGCCCAAACAGTTAAATAGTCGGTGTAAGGAACTCGTGGCCTCGTTAATGCACTACTTTGAGCAAGAAAGGGACAACAACGGGCCTTTGTTGCCTTTAAATGCTGTTCAAGAGGTAGGTTACTAATAATTATATGTAATGTATATTAATAATAGTGAAATTTTATTTCATTTTTTGTAGCGTGTTGCTGCTGCTTTAAAAATTAGTTTAAGGACAGTTAGTCGTATTTCCGAGGGTGTGAAAAGTGATGCAAATTTAGAATCGCCCAAGAAAAAGCGGAGTTATATTAAACGTGTAACCAACACAGCGACATTGGATACAAGTGCCATTCGAGAAGAGATCTATAATATGTATCACAAAAGTAAGATCTTATTATAATAACTTATCAGAAATTTGCATTAATTTGTTAACTAAATTGTAATGTCATATTACACATGGTTTCAGAAGAACAAGTTACGATACAAACTTTATGGTCTTGATTAAGAGATAGGGCATTATTTGATGGTAGTGCCACGTCTTTAAGGCGGTTGCTTAGAGATCTTGGATTTAAGTGGCTTAAGGACAATCCGCGACGAGGGCTCATGGAACTACCAAGTATAGCTTTGAAAAGGGTGGAATTTCTAAGGCAATACAATCAAGCCAAGGTTGAGGCCTTATACCAGTTTGTCTTCTTCGATGAAACTTGGATATTTCAAAATGGGACCATAGGTCGCTCTTGACAAAATGGAAACCAAAAAAGCGTGAAAGCTATTAAAACAGATGGTAAAAGGTATGTACTTTTACACAATTTGCACTATAAAATTTAAAACTAATATATTTTAGATACATTATATTACATGCTGGAAATGAAAATGGGTTTATTGAGGGTAGTGAAGCGATATTTTCTTCGAAAACAAATTGAGCGATTACCATGGAGAGATGAACCAGGACAATTTTTTGAAATGGTTTCAACATCAGTTATTAGAAAAATTGGAGAGTCCATCTATGATTATACTGGATTACGCCCCTTATCACAGCATGATATTGAACAAAGTGCCCAACAATGCATGGACAAAAAAAAATATCCAAGACTGGTTGACAAATCAAAACATACCGGTGAAATGGGGTGAATAGAAACAGTTTCGGACCTTTCCTACTCTGTTGCTAGCATGGTAGTCACCTTTTTGACAACAAAAAATAAGGAATCTACAGGTCTCGACTTGTAGATCAAAAAGCGCATAATAGATTTTTTTTTAAATAGGGGGTTTTCCAAATAAAAAATAAAAACGCTCTTTTTCTATTCACCCTTAATGTGGGGTGAATAGAAACACCCATTTAAATTGGTCAAATTTGCTATTCTACCCACACGAAGGCGAATAGAAAAACCTGAAAAAATTTTTAAATTGATAAAAAAATATAAATACACAAAAAAAACTGACAAAAACACCAATTTTACAAAAAAAAACATTTATTTCTATAGAAATGTAACAAGTTTAAACATATTATTTAAATTAAACAACTTTGATGCAAATTAAATTTTAAAATGTCTCTTCTTGACGTAGATGCTTCTATCTCGTCATGAACTGGGAAAACCTCTCCAACAACCTGGCTAAAATGAAAGGTGGAAACATCCGGAACTTCTGGAAATCCATAAATATATCCTGACGAGTGTTTGGTGGGGCGACTTCTTAAGAAAGTGGCTTCAATGTCATTTTCTGTAATATTAATGACTTGTCCGATAAAATATTTATTTCTTTGTCTATTTCGATATTTTGTTGGAAAACACACCAGAAGCCAAGTTCCTTTATCTATTAAATCAAGCGAAATAGGAGAAACACATCGAAACAATTTACCCTCAAAGCAGACTGATGCTGATGAATTATTTGTATCCAACTTATTCTCGGACTTATCGGTGAAACTTGGTAGTGAAGTGTCCATTTCTGAGTCTGCATCTGAAGAATGATCTTGATCTTTTTCCATGTCAGAGTCTTCACTTGAAGAATGATCTTGAGCTTTTGCCATTATTGGCATGAAATTAATAAGGGGCAAATTCATTTCCGGGTCTGAATCTTCATCTAAGGTTTCCATACTTCTTTCCAAATCAGTATCCTCTTGATCGTCTTTATCCAACGTGCTTTCAAAATCTGCACTTGTAACGCTTTTGCCAGCAGGAACTTGAATTTTACGACGTCGACTCTTCACATTTTGACCATCGCCATATCTCATTGTTCTTAGAAGGTTTACCAAAGAGTTATTAAGTCCTTCTTCAATGTTCTGATTCTCATCATTTGTCTCGTCAAGATTTTGCTGCGGAAGGCGTCCCAAGACTTGATCCCTATTTAGTGGAAAAATTCCACGCTTTCTAAAGCCAGATTGTATATTTTTTCCAGCATTAGGCTCAATAGCCTTTGACAAGTCATTTAGCAAGAAAGGGAATCTGTCCTTTGGAACCGTGCAATGCTTTGAACCAGCCCCCATTTTCCATTTTTCAAGGATCTGTCGCCAGGCTGTTTTAAGAGGCCGGAAAAATGCCACGTCCAGAGGCTGGGTCAGATGAGTAGAGTTAGCCGGGAGGAATATAAATGAAATATTATTTTCTTCGCAAAGAGATACCGTACTTGCAGAAAAATGTGAACTCAGATTATCGCCAATTAAGTACTTCTTTCCCGGTAGATTTTTTACTGCAGGTATGACAGTGCTCTCTACCCAATCTGAGAAGGAAATCGCATCAAACCAACCTGATGGACTTCTATTAAATCTGACGTCCTTTGGTCCTCCAACTGTCCAAGATGTATACAAATTTTTAGCTTTGTAAACCACGTATGGTGGGAAAAATTTTCCATCAGCTGAAGCAGCGTACATAATAGAAACGGCTGACTTCGACGTATTGCAAATACGTTCTGGATAGCGACAGCCCCTTTTCGAGATTACTTTCTTTCTACCCGGATCGTCAGTTAAATTTGTTTCGTCGTAATTTACTATGTTTGATGGCGGTACATTTTTCAACTCCGTGGTTAAATTGTCAAAATAAGCATTGATAGTATTGGGAGAAACAGCAGCTCTTGAGCGCTTGATG